ACCGCCATGAGGGTCCCGAACCGGCTGGTGTACTTAGTGCCGATGCAGCTCTGCACCACGTTGAGCATCGCCCCCCTGTCAGAGGTGTCGATGGGGAACGCCATGCCCCGCGCCACCGCCAGGGCGTCCTCCAGCGCGCGCGTGTAGCCGCGCACGATTACTGTAGGGTGCAGGTTGCGCTCCAGCAGCGGCTCCGCGGCCTGCGCAGGCGGTCGGGGCAGAACGAGAGGGCCCGACGGTTCTGCTTTCTGCGCCACATGGGCCCGCCCCCACCCGCTGCACCTCATGCCGGAGACACCCATCGCAATGCCCTGCACCGCGAGCGTTTGCGTGTGCGCGTAAACACACACACACACACACACACACATGCACACACACACCCGACACCCAAAAGCACGCCAGCCCAACACCCCCATCCCTCTCGCACCTGCAGCAGCTCTCCCGCCAGAATGATGACGCTGGTGGTGCCGTCACCAACCTCCTCGTCCTGGGTGCGGCTCAGCTGAATCATGCTCTGTTGCAGGATTGGGCAAGTTGAGGTGCGGGCTGTTGCTGTATGGCATTTGCTGTATGTGCGTGTGTTTGTGTGAGGGGGGGCGTAAGGAGTCGAGCAAGATAGCAATGGGGGGCTGGGCACTGCTTCAGGCGCCCGCCCCGGAGCTGACAGGAGTCGTGGGGTAAGTGAGGCAACTTTGGAGCAGCTGCCGTGCTGCTGTGCGCAGCCAGAGGGCAGGCAGCCCCAGGCGCGACCAACAGGGCTATGCTGCCGCCTCCCCGCCTGGGATGTGTGGCCCCGCGTCGCCCTCGCAGCCACCGCTGCTGAACAGAGTCTCGGTCGCGGCGCACACCTTAGCTGCGGGGTGCGTCACATCTATCTCGCGGAGGATGGCGTGGCCATCATTGGTGAGGACGATGCCTGGGAAGAGGGGGGCGCAGCGAGCCGGCATGCGGCGCAGTTGGGGTAGGAAACAGGAAACAGCACACGCGCGTTTTTCCCGCCACCGCCGGCACGCCGCTTGTGGCAGCTGGCAGTCGAGCCAGGCACTCCCTCATTCAGCTTCTGTGACGGCACAACATGGACTCTACAGGCCGAGGACTGCTGCAGCCTCAGATCATAGCTGCTGATCACAGGGACTCACTCCCGTTGGGGTCCAGCAGCATCTTCAGCATGGACCTCGGGCCAAGGGTCGTGCGGATAATGTCCGCTACTGCCTTGGCCGCAGCGATGTTGCCCTGCTGAGCCTTGCGGCCCTGTTCCCGCTTTGTGTTCGCGTTCAGGATGGTGACGGGCATGCCCTGCATACCCTGCATCCTGGCCCCAGCTGCTTGCTATTCCACAGTCCTAGCACTGATCAAGCGCAGGGGACAGATCACAGCGTGGATCCTTCTGGCGCGCGCCGGTGAAGGAGACGGTACCGATAGAGAGCAACAGTGGTCGCGTCTGTCAAGTAAAGCAATAACGTATCTAAAATGAACCCGGTCGACGCCCATGTTGAAGATACAGAACAGCAACCGGCATGTGCAGCAGCAGCTGCTGCTGCTCGACCCGGGTAGAGGTGCACGCCTCCATACAGGGGGAGACGAAATTATACACTCGGGAAAATCAATGCAGCACTCATTTTCAGCTGCATGCACGTGGCGCAGGTTCCTCATGAACGCACACAGTCCGGGCACACCACCGTTGGCCAGCCACTTGGTCACATTCCAGACGCAGGCTCCCCTCCTCTCGCCCTTACTTTTCCCCGCTACAGCTTCGTGCCTTGGTGATCATTACACACCTGTCTTACACACACACCACGTGGATGAACTAGGCACCCACGGTTAGCGGTCAGCAAGCCCGGACTGTCCAGGCCTGCTGAGTACCGCTCTGAGCAGCGGCGGAGCAACTGCTGCCAGTTATTGGCCGGGTGCGGCCCACCCGGCTCATCGCCAGTCAAATCCCTCAGGGTGATGTCATGCAGCACCAAAGTCCTTCAAAAGAAGAGCGTTCCATCAAAAGCCTTCGAGCAGCTCTCGCGCCAAATGTTCGACCGGCAGCTTCAGTAGCATAAGAGCGCACTGCACCCGCCAGCCGCCGCCGCCAGCACCCCCGCCGCTCGCCTCGCCGCTGCCCGTGCCGCCGGCCGCCGCGGGGCCGCCGGCAAACTCTGCTTCCAGCGCCTTTTGCAGGCCGCTCGCCACCAGCCGCGCGCGCATGAAGCCGCGCTGCAGCAGGCCCCCGACTCCAAGTGCGCCGCCCCCGCTGCCGCCGCTGCCACCAGGCTCCTGCCGCTGCTGCTGGGGCGGCTGCTCCTGCGCGTCCGCCAGCCCCCCCGACGACCCCTTCCCGCCGCCGCTCGCCGCCGCACCGCCGCTCGCGTCGCCGCCGCCCGAGCGCGCCGCCGGCGTCTCCGCCAGCCGCGTCACGGCGACCTCCGCGCGCCCGACGCCGCCGGGGCCCGTCATCACCACGCGGTCCTTCCCGCCGTTTGGCTGCGGCCCCAGCAACGCGTCCAGCAGGTTGCGCGTCGGGCCCCTGGACTGCGCTATGAAGTCGACGATCTGCTCGTACGACACGTACCCTGCAAACAGGCACCGCCGGCGCGTGCCGATGCGCCAGGCGTCGCCGGGCGCGTCGCTGGCGGAGCTGCCGCCGCCGCCGCCGCCGCCGCCCGATGTCGACACAGCCCGGCCCTCGGCGCCATTCGTCCCTGCCTGCTGCTGCTGCTGCCGCTGCTCCTGCTGCTGATTCTCCTGCTGCTCCTGCTCCTGCTGCTGCTCCTGCTGTTGCTGCTGCACGGCCAGCCCCGCCGCCTCGGACCCCTCCGCAGACGGCCGCCACGCGCCGCCGCCGCTGCCCGCGCCGCAGCCGTCCAGCAGCGCGTGCAGCACGACGCAGTAGCAGTGCTCTGGCTCCGACAGCACGAGCTCCTCAAACGCCGCATCAAAGTTGTCCACCGCGAAGCACGCGTCAGGATAGCATGGCGCCGGGTTGGCGGCCTCCCCGCGGCTGCTGTCCAGATTCACGGCGGTTACAGTGGGGCTGGCGAACACGGGGCGCGACACGGCGCGCATGCGGGGGGCCCAGGTGCGGCCCTCGGCAACAAAAGCCAGGGACTCGCGCCTGCAAGGGCGAAACAGGCGGGCGGGGGGGTGAGGGTGGCAGGCCAGGTCAAGACAGTCGTATGTTGACACACCTGCCAACGGACGGAAGGCCAAGTCACCAACGTCTGCACTGCTCGGCAAGCGGCTCATCCACTTAGGCACTGCCAAGCATGCAGCTGGTGCGCTGAACCGCTGTCCTCTGATGGCCCCTCGTGTGATGCTGTCGGCCCCTGGCCCCGACGATGCGCTGCCTCAGGGTGCCTACAACCGCTTGTTTGTACGCTCACCCACAGGCCACGACCGTCAGCTGGAATCGGCTCTGCAGCACCGTGTTGAGCAGCACACTGGCCGCCCAGTCCACTCCCGCAAAGCCGCGGCCGCTCAGGCTCAAGTCCTCGGGCAGCGACGCGCCGCGCCGCCGCACGAAGTACGGCTCCCGCGGCGCGGCCTGAGGCGCGCCCGCGCCAGATGCTACCGCTGCCGCCGGCCGCTGCTGCTGCTGCTGCTGCTGCTGCTGCTGCTGCTGCTGATGCGGCAGCGCCGCCGCCGCCGCGCCCTGCTGGGGCGGGGAGGGCGGAGGCGCACCGCCGGGCTTGCCGGGCTTGCCCGCAGCGCCTGCGCCGGTTTGGTTGCCCTTGGCTGCGACCCAGCCGGCGTTCACAAAGAACAGGAGATCGTCGTGATGCTCGCCGCCATCACAGTAGCCGCCGCCCGCGTTGACAAACTGCGGGGGGCGGCCGGGGCGCGGCGCGTGGGGGCGCGGTTGCGGCGCAGCTGCTCCGGGGTTACCATGGGCGATGTGCGAAGCGCTGCGTCTGCCGGCCAACTCATACGGCATGCCTTGCATGTTACGCCCTGCTCTGCGCCGAGGCCTTTTTGAGCAGATGTGATACCATACCAGCCAGTGCAGGTCGGGCGCAGCAGCGCAACGCGCGACGGTCCTGCTGCGCTCACCAAGTAAACAAAGCTCTCCCACCACTGCTGCTGGGTCCACGCTGCAGGATCAGAGTCCTTGCGACCGTCACGCAGTAGCCTGGCTTGCTCGCGTATGGCAGAAAGGATGTTTCTGCGCGTCTCCCCGCTCATTGCAATGATCTGATATGTATGGGGTCTGGCACCTATCAAGTTGTACGTAGCACCCACAATATCGTACACCTGCAGCAGTGGCTGAGCGTGGCAAGGGCCCAGTCAAGAAGGAAACTGTGCACGTGAAGACGCTGTCTCATCAAGGCACCTCACCGCCAGCTCACCGCTGCCTGCTCGGGCTGCGCTCATGGCAAGGGCGACGTGCTTTGTCCGTGCAAGCATACACAAGAGCTCCGACAAGCACGTACACTACACATCAACGCCCAAAAGAGGGTCATGTGGCTACGCCGCCGAGGGTTGACCACAAGCAAAGTCAGCCGCTGAGCACTGACAAGCGCTCCTTGGCGTCCCTCAGATCTTCATGGCTGGTGGGGCCCGGCTCAGATGCAGACCCAAGTAATCAGGATGGTGACCCAGCAATCTTGCATCCCAGCAGGCACCTTTTCAGCCTGTTTTCTGTTGTTGGCATTCTGGAATGTCGCTGGACTGCCTGGCAGCTGCCCTGATGACCAGCAGTCACGGTGGCTGCTGGGTTTGGAGCAGCAATGGCGGAGGCGTAGCCAACCGCCGTAGCCTTGAAATGCCTTGGATTGTCGACAGCAGCGCTCTTCGTCGTGCCACCGCCATCATTGCTGTGTTGATAACCAATTTCTCAACTGTCAAGCGTGTCAAAGTCACGCGCCCGCAACAACCCCGCTGTTTACATTCTAGCGTTTCACCCTCACTGCAGGTGATCCTGCGCCTTCTACACACCCAGTCCACGCTGAGACAACAAGTTACAAAGGGTAATAACGGGGGTAGTTCAAGCTGCTGCTCTGCTGGAAAGGCATCGGCGCAGCATTTATTGCAGGGACTAACATGGGCAGCCATGCGGCGGCCGGGGGGCACGACGCCCGTGCCCGCTACGTGCCCGTGGGCAACGAGCTCAACGGAGGGCGGCGCTCAAGGGCGCCCCCAAAGGCAGCACTGCCAAAAGCAGCCTGAAATCAATGATGGCGGGCTCGGGTTCCTTTAAAAAGTATGGGTACGATGGCAGTGTGTGAACGGTCAGGCGGCGGCCGGCGCGCGGCCGCCTGTGCGGGCTGGATTCCGGTGCCGCTCGAGCGCGGCCGCAGCATGGGGGGCCGGGGGCAGAGGCGAAGCCAGGCGGCCGGCGCACAAAGACGCCAGCCGCGGCGGCCCCGTGCTGCCCCGGCCGCGGGTCATCTCATCCGTTTTGCGCACGAGGGGCGTCGCCGCTCGGGGCGCCGCCGCGCGGCGCGAGGCGCAGGGGGGGCGGAGTGGCAGCCCCGGAGTTGTGGGCGAGAGGCCTGTCAACCCCCTCTAGTTGCGCCGCTCAGGGTAAGTGCAGCATCAAAGACAAAGCGGCCAAGTGGTGATGCGGCATTAAGTGGCTAGATGTACACCAGGCGCGGTGGCCTCTCGCCGCCGGCCGCCTGACGCGCGGCGGCGAGAGGATGCGCAACGCCCCGTCATGCCCCTCATCATGCACGGTTTCGTAATTGCTTTCTCTCGCGCATATGCATCAGCAAGGCGGTGCGCCGAACACAACCTTCAAGGGAAGCAACAGGGAATGTGACAAGCGGCGGGGCGCCAGGCGGCGGCCAACGCGGCGCGGACGATTGCCCGCGAGCGGCGCCCCCGGGTCAAAGCACAGCCGCGGCCTCTCAAGAGGGGGCAGCGCCGCGCGCCTCTCGTGACGCCGCCACGCGCCTCTGCAGTGCGCGCATGATGCCTGGGCCGTCGGGCCAGTCTGCGAGGGGGCCGGGGTGGCGCGGTCCCGGGCAAGAGTTGAGATGCCGTCGGCTCAGACCATCCCCAACCCTCCCCGACCCCCCACACACACAAGCAGCACCCGGCCCCCCTCCTCCAGCATTGCTGCTGCCCAAAACGCGCCCTGCATCCCCCACGGCGGCGCGCTGCGAAAAACATGCTCCCTGCACGATCCAGCATGCCGCGCCAGCACCCAGGCGGCCCCCCTCGACCCGCAACCCCCCCCCCAAAAAAAAACACCTACACACACACACGCGCACACACACACACACACACACACACACGCACACACACACACGCACACACACACACACACACACGCACTCACACAC